AGGAAAACAAGAAGAAAAGGGACAAGAAGAGAGGGACACAACCTAGAACAGATAATGGATGTCTATTCTATTAACATTTCTCTATCTGTAGAATGGGTCTGTTTTATGTGTTGTCTTCTCAATTCAGAGGGGCCCCTGCCAGTCTTTGCCTAGGGCCCCTAATTTCCTAAATCAGGGGGGTGGGGTCCATATTAGGGTTACTCTTTCTGCCAAGTAGAGCAAAGCAATAGTTTAGCTTTGAACTTTAGCTTCATTTTGTGCTTCTTTAGAAGTCCGAATAGAGAAATCAGAAATGTCATTCCACCCTAAGCAGACCTGAACAGGCTGCGCTGGCAGAGCTTCATCATATACGTCCCTCCCTCCTCTCCCTCCACCCCGCCCTCCGCTCAATGGCCCCCTCTGTTCTCTAGCCACGTGGAGAAAACTCTCCTGGAATCTGGTGTCAACCTGCACTTAGAGCTTCTTTAAGCAGTCCTCTGAGGTGACCCCCAGGCACTCTGTGCTTTTACTTCTCTCCACTTTCACCTGACAAAGCGTAAAGTAGGTTGGCTGAATAGAGGCATTCAGGGAAGATTACGGTTCACTTTAAGCACCGTGCTGAGAACGACGAGGTCACGGCGGGGATGACAAGACATGATCCTACAGATCTCAAGTCTGGCCCTCTTCTTTCAGAGGGTTTAACTAGAGAGGTATTCACCCACTTGGCATCTTTCCATGTCCTGTTACCTCACTACCCTGAATAAAAATAGATTTTCTTTGAGTTTGCAGCATTTAATGTAACAACTTTGAAAGGTCTTCATTTTTTCATGTGAAGCAAATGAGAAAAGGTCCAAAAAAACATTGTGCAAACCTCTCAGGTTGATACATGTTGTTTTTAAATGCAGACTCTTAGTGGATCAGGTCTTTGATACATTTGAAAAAGGAATAGATTTATATATTTACATTTTAAAATGTAAAGAAATATATGGAAAGTCACTTGTTTTAATCATATTAACCAAACTGTATCCCTCACTAGGATGGACAATTATTGCATTTTGCAATATAATCACAATTTATACAAAGGCAATTTTCAAATCGCAGAGGTACTGCTGGGGAAGATTCTCAGTCATCCAGGTCACAGTCAGTCCAAAAAAGCAAAAAAATTAAATAAAATGCACTGGACTTTGTTTGCAAGTTTGAAGACATTTCTCTTCCTATCTAGAAAGCTTTTTCAATTCAAAATTCACAAACACGGTAGCCCAACAAACTTTTTTTTTTTGTTTAGAAAACATGCAAATTGAAACGACGAACAGTTCCACCCCTTTGATTTGGAGGTCGTTTGGCTTTTTTTTACTAGCTTGCAATGCCCCGTACCTGTCTATGTTTCTGAAAGGGGCATTGCAGGCGAACGAAGAACCCAGACGACCCCCATTCCAACGGGGTGGTCCCGTTTGTCTGTTTAAATTTGTATCTTTCGTAAGAAAAATAAGGTTTTGTTGCGGTGCTGTATAAAACCTCTAACTCAATGCTATTTCTGACATCTTGATTTAATAGTTTTTTCTTATTTGCCCTCCTTCTCTGCTCAAGGTCCTACCCAGTCAGCTCCAATAAGACTCTCTGCTTCCTGCAGATTGTTAATTAGCGCCCAACATTGCTTTTAAATGGAGTTCTGATTGGAGAACCATCTAGCAATCAGGGGCCAATAAAAACAGCCCTGACCAGTACCTTTGTCCCCTGGTGCAGCGGCGGCCATCTTTATGCTCCATTGGCTGCCGTCTCATTCAGAGCAGCTGCTAGTTCAGCCTAGGGGTGTAAATAATAATCGTTTTTTATCGATGCATCAATCCAACAGCTGACGATCCGATGCATCGACACGTCTGCAAGAGTATCGTTTCGTGTTTTTTTTTCCTCCGCTCTATTTTTATCCATTTGCTCCTGG